CCGATTATCTATCTACGTGCTTACTTTGCATTTTTTTATTAATTGTTTTAGATTGCTATAGTACCCAGAGATAAATGCAATATTTTATGTTAATAAGGGTAAATTTATAATATTTTAGAGGGATAAAACACATTATCAATAAAAAAAATATCTAAAACATATAGTAATTTAAAATTTTTAGGGGTAGACCGCTCCGCCAATCCCCCTGGTTCATCCCTGATCGTGTCGATCACCGTTGTGGATGACAATTAAATCCAAAATTTTGAGATTGATTTATTTTGATCTTCTGAGTCCGATTTTAACTTTTGTTTCACCTGAATCTATAAACCTCAAATAAAACCTAAAAATTAGATGTTAATCAAACCTTAAATCATGATCAAATCATAAATCCTATTTTCACCCTTAGTGCTCTATTTGTCATTTTTGCCGAAAGTTTGGGAGTAAGACTTTTGTAGAATTTCTTTTAGAAAATAAATTGAAACACTTATAGAAGAAGAAAATATGAGTTGAACAATATTGTTATTTGTTGGAAGCGATGTCAAAAAATGGCAGTTCAATAGATTAAAGCTTTCGAAAGATATATTCATAAAGTTTGGAGTTTTTTCGGATAAACTAACATGAAATTCATGTTTAGAGGGGTGAGATAAGTTTGTTGAAAAATTTTGGGTCTCATCGACCTCCAACTATAGAAATAGGTAGTGGTTAGAATGTTGGTAAGAAGGATGGTCAAAATCTGAGTTTGGTTCAAGTTGAGGGAGAGAAAAAGAAAAACAATGAAAGAAAAAATGATGGGGAAAGGAGAAAATAAGTTTTATACTTTGTTTTGGTTTAAATTTGATTTTTTTTGTAAGGATCCAAAATGATGTCATTTTAGTATAAATTGTCATGTTTTAATATTTATTTATTTTTCAATATTAAGAAATGACAGTCTTAACGTAATTGGATGTTTATGATATTTTTAAATAAATAAATAAATATCCTATTTTTATAAATTATATATATTAATCTATTTTTTAGAAAAATGTTTTAATATTTATTTATTTTTAATATTAAGAAAATGACAGTCTTAAAGCAACTAGATGTCCTATTCTGGTATTTTAAAAATAAATAAATATCTTATTTATAAAATATAAAAATTAATATATTTTCTTAAAGTTATACTAATAAATTTGAAATAATAGGATTATAAATTAAATATATTGTTGAATTCTTAAATTTCTAATAATAGAGACAATTTATAATTAATAATTATCAATTTTGGGTGTTATAGGGGTGTTAATCTTTCCCTAAATGTAATCGATCACAAATCCCTTTTTACTAAAATCTTTGGTTATACGCAGATCCGTTTTATCTTTTAAATTATGTTTTATTCAAAACTATTTTAAAAGATTATTTTTAGATATTTGACCCACCTAACTCAAAAAAAGTCAATGGCGACTCCCAAAACATTTTAAATTAAAATTATTTATTTCTTTATATTATTTTTCCCGTCAAGTAAAAAATTCGTGGCCGGGCGAAAATCGGTTACGACACAAAGGTTTCCTCAACAGTACAAAGGGTTTCCGAAGGTGGCAGCAAAACACGTGCATGCTCAACACCCCCAATATAGGGAATAAACACTCCCAGCTCTTCAGCCATTGCGAGAAGCACCTCATCATTGTCGTCATTGTTTTCACTAAGAAAGGGAATCAATTCCTTCCTGGTTCACTCCTCCCCAAGAACACGAGCGATCGTTGAAAGCCTACGGATTGAGTTTAAACGGAATTATATGTCATCATTTTTTAGCTCATCTATCAGGACAGCTATTGGATACAACGGTTCTTCAACCATAGCCATCTTATTTCAATATCTGCAGCTTCAATTAACTATTTATACCTGAAAACCTACAGAAGGAAAAAAACTCGTTACCATGGTATTAAATTGCGGCCGCAACGCAGTGTAATGGCCACATCGTATTGGTTTTGAAGGTCATCGCGACACAATATTAACGTAACGCGATAAAATATTTTATAAGTATTGTGATTTTTGATGAAATCATACCCGCGACAGTCGCAACATGTTACGTAACGTCCGCAACATCCGCAACCGCAACCGCTATTTTATACTATGCTCGTTACCCGTCATTAATTACCAATCATTCAAAATATACAGTAAGAGTGTCCCATCTTCTGATCCTTAAATCTCACGATTCAATAATGCTTTTGTGACCGTATTTGTAGATCTTACAAGCACTTAAAGCACATAAAAGTTTATAAACAGATCAATCCCAAAGAACATGATCCCAAACAAACACTGGGAAATTCAATACCAGAAAACGAACAAATTCAACCAATAAAAGGAGAGGAGAAATGCGGCAAAAAAAATTAAAAACCACGGCCTTGTTTGGATGTGAAGAGAAAGAAAAGCAAAGAGAATTGACTTTGAAAATTTAAAACTCCCGGCATCTAAGAACGGAAGATAACAACATTAACTAACGGAGGTAATCTTACCGATCTCGACTCCTTCCCGCCGGCTGTTTCTCAAAAATCAGAAAGAAAATGAGAATGAAATATTTTGTATTTTGGTTGTATTTATTTATTTTGAAATTTTTAAGGCCAGCGATGATGGTAATCGGCATCATTTTCGTGAATGATGGGCTAATTGATTAATGGCCCCTTGACTATTTTCATTTACAAAAACATCCCAAGACCCAAATCTCATTTCTTTTAAACCATTGAATATTGTTTAAGTTCGTTTTGAATCATTCATCTCAGTTTATTTTATTCACAAAATCAATATTTAATTTTTAATATTATTTAAGAGAATTACTATTTTATTTTATAAATTATTTTTTATTAGATATTTTAGAAGATTATATTCTATATACTTAAAATAAATTACATAAATGATTATTAATATTTGAATAAATTTTTATTTTTCTTATCAAGTTCTAAAATTAACGAATTAGTTATTAACATTATTAACAAATTGATTTCTTAATATTAACAATTATTAATGTGAGTGATAATAAATTGATGTGAGACGTTAACTGTTAATGTAATTATAAAGTTAACATTAAAGATAATTTTATGACGGTTATGATCGGAGGGAACCTGAAACAATCATTCTCTTTTGAGAGTTATTCATCTTACATAGAGATGGACGCAAAATCTTATATTACAGGAACGAACTTAGACTTTTAAAATTTTAGAAAATGAATTTGTACTCATAAAGTTACAGGGATGAAAGTAGATTTTCAATAGACAATATATAAAAATAAAATATATAATAATTTTAAAATTTGAGGTAGCAATTATCCCACCCACCCCACGGTACATCTCTTACATCGAAAACATCACGACTTTTAGCGGTTCATAATCCTTTGAAACTCCTAAACACAAACCTGGAAAAGATCTCAAAACCACCATCATCATGTTCCACCTATACCTTCCCCTCCCAACTCTCGAATTATTTCTTTTGACGACACAAATCATGCACCAAAATCCAATATTATTAACGATAAATTTATTATTATGTTTAATTTTAAAGAAAGCCCAGGTTCTATACTGGATTTATGGAGTTTAAGGTAATTTACGCATTTAGTATCGAATTTATCAGTTTTATGTTATTAGTACCTAAATTTTTAATTTTTTTAAAAATTATATTTAAAGTTTAGTTTTTGTTTTAATTTAATATCCCGTTCAAAATTTAACATTAAGTTGTTTAAAAAATCAAAAGTTTAGGTATTAAAATGGACCAAAAAATAGTTTAGGTACTAAAACGGGCCAAAACCAATAATTTAGGTACTAAATGCGTTAAATTTTTAATGATAGGGTATTAGAATGAAACAAAAATTAAATGTTAGGTATGATTTAAAAAAATGAAATTTAGGTATTAAAATAAACCAAAACCGATAGTTTATGTACTAAATGCGTATTTTACCCTATATTTAATGAAACAAATATTAGATCCACTTTTAAAGGACAAAAAGAGTGATCGAAAAATTTTTGGATACAACATCGTTGATGTCAACGGTCAATGATAGTTAACAATGACCTGTGATGAGCGATTGGGGACTTTAACCAAATTCATAGATTAAATTGATATTTTAAACTTTTAGGACCAAATTAGTATGTTACCAAAAGTTCAAGAGTTAAGCTAAAAATTAACTCTTTTTACTAACATGTTATATCAACAAACTAATGGTATTTAATGTCTCAATGACCAAAATATTATAAATCGATAACGTAAGTGACTAAAAAGTTATAAATGGATAACATAAGTAACCATATCATTATCTTTTAAAAAAAATTGATTAGCAAAATATATAAATATGAAGAAAAAATATATATATCAACAAATAGTTGTTCTAGTGAGATGAGATATTAAATCCTTTTAGAAAAGTCAAGAGTTTAAATCTTAATATTTGTTATTAGAATAAACTGGGTAGGGAAAGTCGTACTCATCGCCATAATGAGTCTTTGTAAAATATGATCAAAAAATAATCAATTATTAGGTCGAACACCAATGGTTAAAAAATGGACTATTATGCCCTTAATTTAATTACAACTTTCTAGATGTTAGTTTTTGGGCACTACAACTTCCGGACAAAATGAAGATTACAACAAGGAGATTTGTAAACAATTACTTATCCACTTTTGAAAACTTATAACAGAGAAGACGAACTTAAACAACATATGCCCCTTGTACAATGGAGTTGGGGAATCTGTTAACCATCTGTTGCGGAATTGCCCTGTCTCGAAGCTGATTTTGGATTCAATTAATACCACGACTACCATTACATCACAGAGTTCAGATCATAAAACATTGCTAGCAGATTTTTTCATGCAATTTAATGTAAAATCAAGGAAGCTAATGGTGATTTCTTATTAGGCCATTTAGTATGCTCGAAATAAGGTTGTCCATAAGGGTGTGCAACAAACAGTACAGGAAACAGTAATGTCCAAAATCCATTCAGTTCCAAAAGTTTAAACCCCAAAATACGGTCCAAAACCTCTTTACTTTTCTAATCTAGAACTTAGTTCTGTTACCGACAGCAACTTGTTAACCTGTTCCAGAATCCAGTCCCCCCATCTTGAACTGTTTTATCCTTGAAGTTTGCCTTCTCACTAAGCTCTTGAAATGCATCCACGAGATTCTGTAGCCTTGCAACGAACTCGATCAATAGCGATGCGAAGGTTGCCAAGGATAGACTGCTTGCACTTTCATATATTTTCGATTCCTGGCGGTGCAGCATTGCATCGGAGTTGAACGAGAGGCGAGGCCATGAAGGTTTGTCGAGATCACTTCCGGTCGTCATTAAATCCGGGGTGGCACGAGAGTCCATCGAGTGCTGAACTTCCCACATATCGCTCATGGATTTGATCACTTTACGTGGTTCATCATCTTTACCCTCGACCGTGCTCGTGGATACTTTCAACTCCTTGTGCTGTCGTGTTGGAGGGGTCGCCCAGCTATCCGAATTGACTAGAAGGTACGATTTCTCGTCTATCTTCTTCTGCAATTCCTCCGCCGCCTCATGAACTTCATTCAGTATGTCTCCAGGGCCTAACTTTTCCATTTTCTGGACTTTCTCTCCGAGCTCGCGCAGCAGTCTAGCGCCCGCATTGCTGACCCTATGAAGCTCGAGAGCAAACGCATATCGCTTATCTGCCGGAGCCTGAATTTCCGAAAGTATGCATCCATGCATCGCCATGACCATGAATGCACAATGTCTCAATGCACCACTCACTTTGACATAGTTCCTCCATGGATAGCTGAATGACCTATAAGGACCATGTGGAGGCTCCCATAAGGCAAAATCTAGCAGACTATCCTCTTGGTTTGAAGATTGCACAACTGATCTATAGGAGCTATACAATGGATCATCAGATGCTTGGTATGTAAGAATCTTGGAAGGAACCCTCTCATATTCAACACATTGCAGATATCCATCAACACACCCTACAAAACGAAACTCCGATGTTATATTTCGACAGAAAAAAGGGCTCCGAGCGGTTCTCAAAAAGAAAAAGATAACCTTCCAAGGAAGAAGCAACACTCTTGAAATTTTTAACCACCAATTCGTGCAAATCCTCTCCTGACCATATGGGGTAAATGCATATATTTATCACCAAACACATGCCCGCGCCAAGGAAGATGAGCAACAGACGGTAAAGAGCAGTGGTGTAGAAGGTTCTCGAATTGTTTCCGGATATCAGTACGATACAAAACGTCAACAAGAATACCCGGAAACCATATTCGTATGGCTTCATCGGAGGGTACAATTTGCAATAGCTTGTAACAAATCCTAAAGCAGAATGAATGCTCATGAGTTATAACGTTGAATGATCATGTGACAGTAAACATTTATTTTTAGTGTTGAACTGCTAGAACTCCCAACCTGCTATGAAAATGCTTATCAAAATGATAACTTCTTCGTACTTTCCGGACATTATCGATAGTTCTGCGATGCCTAAAGCCATGGCTCCGGCAGAGAAAGTCCCGATAGCTCGATTGAACCCTTTGTTAAGTGTTGCACCTACATTCAGATACGTTAAATATAAACCAAATGGTGGTAGTGTGCAAATGAATGTTGAATCATATAGATACATCTATATATGTATGTACCTACGCTGAATTCGAAAACGACGACGACGGTGAGAATGGCCCAGATAGAATATTGACTAGCACCCTGTAGAGGCTCTTTGAAAAGCATAAGCAGCGATGCAGACGTTAACGAAAGCCCCATTTTCATGGCGAAAACGACCTTACGGGGATCTGATCGCCCCATCTTATATAGTTTAGCCGAGACATCTTGAACGTTGTTCCAGAATTCATCGATGGGATCGAGACATGATCGAAAACACCGGCATCTAACTCGATCCTCGGCAGCATTTTGATTGCCGAGCCTTAATTCCGAAATCCCTTTGGTTGAAAGCAGCCTTTCTTTACTCTCTCTACCCCACATAAAAGACCTCCCTGCCATTTCTGCAACAACAAAAGAATATAAAACATGAAAACAAGATTCAATGGTGTTTGATCGACTTAAGTGCCGGTGGTAGACTGAAAGCAGTTGTGTAGATTTTTTATCCAAGTGGAAAGGAAGATGTAAAACGACTATCCAAAATAAGAGATTATGAAAGTCACTCAAAAAATCACCTGGCTCCACGCGTCACCAGTCACTTGGTTTTCGATCAACTATAAACAATTTTGCTTATACAATTAATTGACCTTAAACCAGTGCCCCCTGTTTCATGTTATGTTTCTTTAATTTGTCTTAGAAAAAAAATGAGCTTGAATGTATCATAATACAAAATCCAATGCTTTTCCGGTAAAAAAATGTGGGTTTATTTGTTGGTAGAAATTTAACTCACAGCGTAAATGTGAGAGATTTCAGAAATTTTGGAGAATGACTTGTACTTGCCGGTCCACACTCATCCGTCGGCCTAACACCGGTGCGTCGCATGTACCACAACCACCGTTAAGGAAGGACGGCTAGTTGGTGCCATGACCCACGTGATACAATAAGATCAAATTAATCATAGTTAAGTATGGTTAAAAGGAGTTTTTTTTAGAAGCAAGGGATTTGACAGAATAAACATGATATGTACAAGATATTAATATTTATTGTTACCATATACGAGGTATTTTGTTAGCTGCGTGATAATCAAGTGTATTAGCAACTTACCATAATTGGATTATTTAGTGATTTTGGTTTTTATATAGATTAGGATGTATTTAATACTTACATCTATGCTAAATCTTTTAATTTTGTAACTTTTTAGGATAATTATATGAGTGAATTTAGAATACTGAAATTATTTCTTTGTTCTTTTTTCCCGTGAATTTCTTGGTGTTTCTATTAGAAAAACCTCCAAAAATTCATTTATTAGAAAAATAATCCCACACAACATTAATTAAAAAAATACTCCCAAACTGCCTACATAGGGCTACCTCGGGTTCTGCAAAACACATTTAAGGATCTCAAGTTTTGAAGGGCGCAAGACCGGTCCAACGTGTAAACACTTTTTAGAAAATATAATTTAATATTAGGTGAAACGACCTCACGTTCTACAAAACGCGAGGTGTACGAGAAATTGAATTTATCGTGAGGTGCACGAGAAATTGAATTTATCATGTGCAGTATTAAACAAGCTTCATGTTCTACAAAATGCGAGGTATATACATTTCCAACCCACATTGCAAGTGTTTATAGTCATATTCGATGAGTATTTTCGGGTAGTTAATCTATTTTTTTTAATTTATAAGATTAGAGGCGTAGTATTATAACTTATCTTTTAGTTGAGGCCAAAATCGACACATACGGGATATTGTAAGCAGATTAAAAATCGCATTAAAAAATGTTCCAAAACTTGTTTTGTGCATGACAAAATAAAATGGTTTGATAGACATATTCAAGTGGTTTTTTTTTCGGGTAGTTAATCTAAAATTTTTTGTAATTTGTAAGATTAAAGGTGTAGTATTTATATTTATGTTTCAGTTGAGGCTAGTATCAGTACATACGAGACATTATAAGCGATGTAAAAATTGCATTTTGAACCAAGCTTTGGAACCATTTTGAACGTGATTTTTACCCCCGCTTATAATGTCTCGTATGATCCGGTATTACACTCAACTAAAAGATAAGTTCAAATACTACGCCATTAATCTTATAAATAACGAAAAAAAATCAATTTACAACCCGAAAAATTGCCTCAAACATGCATATAAAGAACTAAATGGTTGTCTGGAAAAGAAAGGACATCGCGTTCCATAGGAAGCGAGATCATATGAAGAGACAACCTCACATTTTTCATACGACAAGTTCTATCAATTCATCACTTCGAAAAAGGTACAAAGACTGTTATAAAAAGGACCCAAGTTCTCCTTGTCGGTGTCCCCTTGGGCTTGCCAAATTGTAATACCCCAAAATTTCGGTTAGTGGCTAAAATGTAAAATTTGAAAGTTTAGTGGCCAGAGTGTAAATTTGGAAAATGTTCAGAGACCTAAGTTGTAATTTTCCCAAAAATAATTTTTATTTCATAAATAGATAGTTTACTCTTGAGATTGGGTTTTATTTACTCTTGAGATTGGGTTTTATTGAAACTAGATTATTGATCCAAAAATTGTGTTAAAAACTAGAAAATGTTAAAGTTTGGTAAAAATTCGATAAATCGGATCGAATAGAAATTTCAGGAAAATTTTAAAGGCATTAAATTAAGCTTAGAAATATTATTTAAACATGTTAAAATGATGGAAAATAATATAGAGCATTGGATTTGAGAATTAATTTCCATGTTCAATTTGGATCGTTGGATGAAAATGACAAGATTGATTTTTTTTTTTGAAAATGGCATGGGCAAAGTTGGAAAGAGCAAGATAATTAATTTATTTTTTATTTTTTATTTACGATAAGGTTTATGTGGCTTGATATTAAGGTAAATATCAAGTTTCATTAAGGGTAAAATTGACATTTCTCATTAAATGAATATTTTATTCATTTAAGCTTAAATAAAGGCTAAATTAACATGAAATTAACCAAAATTTCATGAAACCAAGCCATCTTTCAGCCAAAATTTCGTGCTCCTTCATACCTAGGTAAAAGAAGTTTTTATTTTTAATTTTTAAGCAATTTCCTTTGTATTTTGGATCATGCAGTGAAATAGAAAAATGTTCTATTCGAAAAATGCTATCATTTGGTACCATTATTGCTTGCTAATTTGGTTTGTGTTTAAAGATACCAAACTCTAGGATTTATATTCACATTAGGGTTTATGTAATTGATAAAGGATTTTGATGTTTTTGAGGTTCTAGAATTATTTCCAATCATGATGGATGATTAAAATCATTTGTACATGATTATATGAACATATAAAGGTTCGGCCAATCCTAGCTTTAAGGGAATGATGTGTATTGATGAAATTAAGTTAGAGATTTGATTGTACAGATTGTATAAGGTTGAATCGATGTTGATTTCATGCTTGAATCAAATCAAAATCGAGTAAAATCATCTTGAACTTTTAAAATATTCAACCTAAGCTTGAACATGGGAGAATTTAGAAAAACTATGTAGGGGCTGGAAATGATGTAAGAAGTATTCGACAAGCCTAAGAAAAAATTGGGGACCATTTGGTAATTTTTGAAAAGTTGGGAGACATATTTGGCAATTATAGAAAATTGTAGGTTGATGTGTAATTATGAAATAGTTGATGTACTATGCTTGAAATTAATGTTTGAGTATTAAATTAATGTTAGAATGTGAAATTTGATTATTTTGGAAAGTTTGTAAAAGTTGAGGTCATAAAAATAGAAAAGTTGGAAGCTTAAGTGAAAATGTTTGTGAAATTTGGATTATATAGAATTTGAATGGTCAATTGGAAGTTTTAAGGTCAACGTTTATGTTGTGACATGAAATTATTATCGAATGAGCATTGAAAGAATTTTTAGGAGTCTATTTTCTATGTATGCCTATGTTAGTAAGATTTTAACATGTGGTTTGCATTTGTATATATTTGGTAATGATGTTCATTTAGATTGTGTGTTGGAATCAAGATCAAACAATATTAAAGATTCTCCTAATATTAAAGCTAAGTAGAAACTTAAGAATGTAATGTGAATTTCTAAGGAAGGTTTACAAACTAAGGACACCAGGTGAGTGCATTTAATTCGTATTTATGTTTCGAATAAACATTGGTTTACGATGAGCCAGTGTTGGAGTTATGTTAAGAAGTGACTCCTAGTGTTATATGAAGTATAATTTAAGCTTATATGTTCATTTAGTAAGCTAATAGAATTAGTGAATACGTTAAGGACACTAGTTGGTGAAATCTGCCTATAAATTATGTTTTGAACAATAAGTTTAGAAAATCATCAAAAATTCTAAAACAATGATTGGGGGATGAATCTTATATAATTGGATTCTTATGTCAGTATAGTTTTGTTTAAAACAAACGGAAACTGAATTCAAGAAGTATACAAAAATATAAGAATTTTTAATTAGTGATAGGTCAGAAAACAGGACAGTAGATTCTGTCCAAAATAACTTTTGTCAGTCAACTTTGAAAATTTGATATAAATTGTACGAATTGAACTAGAAAATTGCTTTATATTTTTAGATTCATATTCGAGTCTAGTTTCCATTGGTATAAACAAAATAATTTTTAAATATATAAATTAATACATAATAATATCTCTTTGAAGGTAGCGCAAACTATCAAAATATGAAATTGTGATAAATTCGTGAAGAAGTGATTGGAAGCAAGAAATTAGGCTTAAAGTTTGGTGAGGTTTATGTTTTGATTTGTATATAAAGTATTAATGTGAGTACATTTTAATTATTTAATTATTCTGATTGAGGACGACTTGTGATAAGTCAACCTCGTATTATTTTATTTTAATAGTATAGTTTATGTTTATGTTTTAATTTTGGAATTATTTCTATAATACTTTATCAAGTTTCATGAATAATTTCGGGTATGAACTGCCCATGTAATATTCTGCGGTTATGATTTGAAAATAATTATGGTTTGGCATGATATTTATTAAATGGTTATGAATCAAAGTAAAGCCCATTGTATGTTGCATTGAGAGTCGTGGGTACATGAGGTGGAGTGATTCTGATATATTGTGGTGTTACATGAAGGTACACTAGTATATATATTCTGATGTGATTGCACTTTGTGTGCACATTTCCATTCTGATATGATAACACTGTGTGTGCTTATATGTTCCGATTCTAATATATTGTGGTGTATCGGTGGGTGCACTAGTTTATATATATATTCTGATCTGATTACACTTTGTGTGCACATTACGATTCTGATATGATATCACTATGTGTGCTTACATATTATAATTATGATGATAGCATTGAAGTGATTATTGCGCTCACTCGTCTAACTCATGTATCTTGTATTCTCATAAATATATATTGGGTTATGAAAATGAAATAAGAAAAGTTCTGAAAGTGACTGAAAGGAAAAAGAATATAAAAATGAAAAATATGAAAGTTCTAAAATGTGTCTGAATGGAAAGTAT